TTTGGTCAATGACATGAGACAAAGTATATGTGAACTGCTGTATGAAAAGTGAAATTTACTCTGTAAATCTTCACCCAAATCCTAAAAAAAAAAAAAGTCCAGCTTCTTGGAATATCTGCTCAGCCAACAGACTGAGTAAGTTTGGTCTAAGGATACAACCCTGACACACACACCTTTTTCCTGATTTTAAACTACAGTAATCTTGTTCTGTTTCAGTAACTGCCTCTTTTCCTATGCACTGGTTCCACATGAGCATAATGAGTGTTATCCATAACGTTATAACCCACACAGTCAAATGCCTTTTTGTTGGCAATAAAACACAGGTAGACATCATTTGGTATTCTCTGCTTTCAGCCAAGATTCATCTGACATCAATAAGTGATAGCCCTTGCTTCAAATCCTCTTCTGTATCTGGTTTGAATTTCTTGACATTTCCTGACAACATACAGCTTTAGAAAGTTGTAAATAATCTTTAGCAAAATTTTGCTTGCATGTGCTATTAATGCTATTTTTTGATAATTTCTTCATTCCATTGGCTCACCTGTCTTTGAAATGGGCATGTATATGGATCCTTTCCAGTTGTAAAGATTACAGCCTAGGAAACCCTACAGACAGTTCTACTCTCTCCTACAGAGTTGCTCTGAGTTGGAATCTATTTGATGGCATGCAACAAGAAAAGTCAGGCCTCACTTTGCCCTACTGAATGTTTGGTCAAATAACGTTTCACAATTTCTTCCAGAATATCAAGGAAGTACAGGTGGAAACCTGGCAACATGTCTTTTCTGTAAAGATACTCTTACTTTACATGTCTATCCTAAGACTGGTACTGCTATGTGTTTATAACCAATTCTTCCCAAAATTCAGAGCTACTTTCATCAGTAAGCAACTGCATGACAGAGAAATTTATATAAACACTCAATATACCCCTTCTATTTCCCCCTCAAAATTAGAATGATGAAAGAGGTATAAAAAATAAGAACTAGGATAGAAATATTTTATAGCCAGATAAGCTCTTAATATCAACTACCATCTACTGTCTTCTTTGCCTGTAGTGAAGGACATGCTCTAAGTACCCCACACTGGTCATTAAGAAAGCAGACAGTCACAAGTGGGAAAAACAGATGAGAAAACAAATACTTAGTATTATATCCCTTAAATGTGCTACACAGACATGAAGAGATTTTAAATATATACCTAGTTCTTACCTTTAACGCATCATGAAAGACTGGAACACCTGGGTGGTATATGCAAGCATCTGGTCAAAATCAGGGAAGAAAGAAAAAATAAGTATCATTCTTTATGAAGAAAAATGAACACACTGTTAGTTCTTTCAGGTGCTAACATTTTACTTTTTCCAAATGCAGTTAATACATCCTTTTCTTAAAATATTCGCTAATGCTTATTCCATGCGTGTCACATAGTGCTAATATAATATTTTATTGAAATGAAACCAAAACTCATTGCTGTCAAATCAATTAAAATTTACAACAACCATACAGGACGGAACTGCCCCATAGGGTTTACAAAGCTTTAAATCTTTAAGGAACCCTGGTGGCGCAGTAATTAAGTGCTCAGATGCGGAGAGGTCAGCGCTGCAAACCTACCAGCTGCTGTTTGAGAGAAAAATGCAGCAGTTGGCCTCCATAAAGATTACAGCCTAGGAAACCCTATGGGGCAGTTCTACACTGTCCATACTATAGGGTCACTATGATAGTTGGAATTCTTTTGATGGGAACTTTTTTTTTTTTAATTTTTCTGGAAGCAGATAGCCACATCTTTCTCCCTCAAAGTGGCTGGTGGGTTTCAACAGACAGCCTTTCAGGTAGCAGGCAAGTCCACCACCAGCCTCCTTATTAGAATACCAAAAAAAAAACCTCACTGTCATTGAGTCAGACTCGATGACAATTATACCATCATTTACTTTACTTGAAATTCTCTTATAGAAACAGGTTTATTACAGTTTGTAATATGATGTAATGAAAAGATTTTTAAAAGTCAGATAATAGACACACTTACTGTTTAACGAAGTAGTATCATGAACTTGGTGAAAACAGGTCAGATCTACCCCTTAGCATTTTTCTCCTAAGGTTACCTCACTCACACTAAACATCTCCTGAGTTTTCCAATTTTCTACAACCTCTGATCCCTTAGTTCCCTGTACTCAGAGAAATCTCCCTAGTCCTGTATTAATAGCCAACATGACTTGCTTATAAAGTTATCATCTATGCATTACGTAGTTAATGCAGTTAATGGAGCAAGAAAATATGAGGTAACTAAAAGAGAAAGTAACAGGTAAACCCATGGATTAGGAAGAGAACAAAAGACTGGAAAAGGAGGTTGGAAGCAGAAATGAGCATGCAGTTGAGAAGGGGAATAGAAAAAGAATACCGGTATTCTCCAACACTAGAAAATTTGAGAATCAAAATTTAATGTACCTTCGAAGCACAGTTAAGAAGCAAAGAGTCATAATAGTTTTGGCAGAATGACAGCAGCAAGAAGAGTAAGGTCTTAACCAGGTTAACTCATGAAAAGTATTTGAAAATCATTGCTTTCAAAAGAAAGTTAACAAAGCAGAGGAATACTTATTTTGCAGCCTTTCTTTATCAAGGTTTACAAGTTTTGCTCAAAGTAATTATTTTTACGGGTAAGCTCTGCCACTTAGTACTTCCTTCAATTTCCTCAAATGTATGGAAAATACTGTTTGTGAAGCAGTGCTTTTTCCAGTATTAATATTTAGCACATATAAGTCACCAATCTTGTCTCCTTTAAACACCCATTTAACTTGGGTTACAAGCTAAAATCTCCTATCAGCTTGAGAGTCTACTTTTTGTCCACAGAGGGAAAAATAATGAAGAAACTAAATAAGCACAATTATACCATAGTACTAAAATAGAAATAGTAATACTTTGTATAAATGAATAGCTTTTTAAGGATGACCGATCCAGGATCTGGTTCCATATTCTAGGTACACTCTTGTTTGTATTTTCAATTTGACCCCTTTTCCTTGTTGCTTTAGGTAATTTACAAGGTCAAACCTCTATAAACTTTCTCCTGATCAAATTCAGTTTGCTATTAGCTTTTGTCTTTTGTTAGTTTCATTTCTACACTTCCCATCCACTCAACCAACTTACTTGAAGCCTTTTTTCCTAAATCTCTAGAATAAACCTCATTTTGCTAACACAAATAAGACACTTTTCAGAAATCTCATTGGAGCGTATTGCTGCAACTTTGCGCTGTTGACCATCCAATCCTTAGACTATCCTCCAGACAGACTATTCTTAGATCTACTATGTATCCTTGAGACAGACTACTAGATATACTATGTATTCACTCCTTTGGCTTTCCCACCTATTTTCTTCCTAAGCACAACATCATTTCAAGTATCTACACCTACAGCGTGACTTCATGTATTATTAAACCACAATCAAACTCAAATTCACTGCCATTGAGTCAATTCCAACTCACAGAGATCCCCCAGTCTCCCTCCCGTGGAGTGGCTTGTGGATTTGAACCCCCAACCTTCTGGTTAGCAGTCAAATACCTTATTAAAAAACTCACTGCTGTTGATTTGATTTGACTCACAGCGACCCCTCCTTGGATTTCCGAGGCAGTATCACTACGGAAGTAGGATTGCCCAACCTTCCTTCCAAGGAGTGGCTGGTGGGTTTGAACCACCAGCCTTCTGGTTAGCAGTCAAGTGCCTTAGGCACTATGCTACCAGAACCCCTAGGTGCTCTGGTAGCATAGTGCATTTGACTTTTTACATAGGGTCTTAATTATCTAGTGCTGCTATAACAGAAATTCCACAAGTGGGTGGCTTTAATGACAAATTTATCTTTTTCACAGTTTAGGAAGCTAGAAGTCTGAATTCAGGGCACTGACTGCAGACACACTAAAGAAGTTAAAAACCCTTCATTCCTCTATGTGCGTGTCATTACTTAAACCCTGACTTTCCCCCCTTTGAGTAATTTAATATTTCTATCATAAAAATTTCTTCAATTATAGAAACTTCAATATTGCATACAGGTTCATTTTTCATTTAGAGTTCTGTACCAATGGTCTTATCAATCCACTTGTGCACCAAGACAAATATTTCAGAATATCAGAGGTGAAAATGACTTTAAAAGGAATAGGTTTCAGTCTTCTTCACAGTGCTTTGCTTCCTTTTCCTACTACCTTTTACTCGGTTTCTCTATAAATAGGCTAATAATGCATTCCTCAGAGCTGTGATAGTTAAATGAAATAATGTAATAAAGTGATAAACCATACATGTCATAGAGAAAAGTACAATAAATGCTCGCCGAATTTGAGAATGTGTTGTCCCTTCCCACACTATTCATGGGCCCAACTCACTACTATATTCCACTCACCAAGTTCACTGATCATTTTTCATCACCCACCTAGTCACTAACATCTTTAACTCTACACCTAGTGTAGAAGACATAAACTCACTTTATCCTGAATATGACACAGTATGAAAATGTGGAGGCCAAACCCAAAACAAATGCTACTACTAAGTAAACCATAAACTTAACAGGGTCAAGATACATAATTTTCCTAACCAAGAATACTTTAGGAAAAAAAAAAAAGACGTTTTTAACAGTGGGTAGACTGAAGCGGCAGACGGTAGGCTTTCAGCACTCTCCTAAACTGATATAACAAAGCACAAGTTCATTGCTAGGGTAACACTGCTCCCCATTCCCCACATGCACCCTCTACCCCTCCCTTCCTCCTCTCGTTTTACTTGCGTGACACTGGCACACACGGTATCACAGCCAACAATGGAGAAGCTAAGAGCAAAACAAGCCCACTAGTACCTCTTTAACTTTTGCTCCCCCCCGAAATGGAAGAGCGGAGGGAGTTTCTAAATTCCCGGCGAATTAAAAAGACAGTCAGCGGACGATTGAGGAACCACGTGCGTCCAGGAAAACGTCTCTTTAGACTGATGGAGACAGACCGCGGTTTGGTGGTGTTGCCAGGGCGCTCGCCGAGGGGCCGCCGCGCGCATAGGAAGCGGCAGGCTGCGCGGACAGCGAGGACGGTTCTGGAGGAACCTTGACCAGGGACAGCGCGGTGGCAGTTCGCGGGACCTCAGGCTCCAGGACGCCCTCAGGCCCACAGGACTTCCACCGTGCTGAAGAGCTGGGAGGGAGGGGGTCGGCTGGCGGAGCGTTTCTTACCATCGGAATTGGTCTCAGGATCGAAGCGTTGGCCGCAACCCCGGTTGTAGCACAGCAGAGCCATATCTTTTCCCACCGCTACAGGGAAGGCTGGGACGCCGCCAACCGCAGAAGGGTGCCTTTGTAACTGCCCTGTCGCAGGGACCGGTCTGATGGCCTGGGCGGCTGCCGGCTTCCGGAAGTGACTGGTTCCGCTTCAGGAACGTTCGCGAATTTTCCGGTCGCGCAGGCGCAGAGAGGATGAGCTAGGGCAGAGGAAGCGGCGAGAGGCTGGAAGGAGTAGCAGCTGCTGTAGGTGGAACTGAGGCGAGAGGCGGCAAGATCAGAGATGGAACTCGAGTTTTCATGGAGAGTGGAAATGTAAAGAGCAGAAAATGAAGATACCAAGAGACTGAAATGCCTTTTGTGAAATTTAGTTGCTTCTTGTATGCTGGTCGTGTCTAGTGGAGCAAAGCCCTGCTCCTGTCGCCCGTCTCTGCCCCTCCCCCCCGGTCTTCTATTGTGCCTATATAGTTCGCAACATTGTTGCTGTCTTTACCCAGCCTTCTTGAGAATAAGTGCAGAGTCGAGCAGTATTTCCGAATCCTTTGCATAGGTTTTTTTGTTAAATGCATACATAGATCTTGGAAACTGAGTAACTGATAAGAATGGTGGGCAATTATCTGGGGGGGGAGGGGTCTCCCGTGTCCTGATCTCTGAGGAAATGCAGGCGTGGGGAGCAATTTAAATGCTATTTAATTACTTTGGAAATATAAAGCTCTTAAAAATCAAAAGAACAAATAAACCGCTGTTCAAATGGAGTGCTAGAAATGATCACTACTGCTCTAAGACCATGTAGTGATTACTAATATTTCATACTACCCTCTACTTAATTTGTTGATATTTAATTCTCCAATCATGGAATCTCTAGTAAAACATAAAGTGCATTATAAAAAGTGCTGTAATAGTAACAAATGCTGGCGAGGATGTGGAGAGATTGGGACCCTCATACACTGCTAATGGGATTGTAAAATGATACAACCACTGTGGAAAGAAAGCAGTATGGCGATTCCTTAGAAAGGAATTAGAAATACCATCTGATCCAGCAATCCCATTATCAGGTATATATCCTAAAGAAGTGAGAGCCAGGACAAGAACATACATGTGCACCCATGTTCATCACAGCACTATTATTTATAATAGCAAAAAGATGGAAACAACCTACATGCCCATCAATAGAAGAATGGATAAGCAAACTATGGCACATAAATGCAATGGAATACTATGCAACCCTAAAGAACAATGTAGAGTCTCCAAAACACCCACATAAGGTGGATGAATTTGGAGGACATTATGCTGAGTGAAATAAGTCAATCACAGAAGGATAAATACTGTATTAGTTCATTACTGTAAAAAGTCAAGGAAAGGTGTCTCTATGGAAGGAAATTTTCTTTGTTGGTTACTGGGGTGGGGGGCAGGGAACACTGTAAAAGTAAAAATAAAGAAAAAAAAATGCAGTAATACACTAACATGCACTGCCTTCAAGCCGGATCCAACTCATAACAACCCTTCCTTTGGTTTCCTAGGCAGTATCAAGTAGATTGCCCCACCTTCCTTCTGAGGAGTGGGTGGTGGGTTTGAACTGCCAGGCTTCTGATTAACAGTCAGATGCCTTAGGCACTACACCACCAAACCTCCTAATAGGGACATGGAAAAAACACTAGCTTCAACTTAATACATTTCCCAACATTGGAGCATTTGAAATAAAAGCAAATGTTCTTTGATAAGACTATCAAAAAACTATTGAACTGTGGGAGCTCTGGTGGTGTAGTGCCTAAGGCATTTGACTGCTAACCAGAAGGCTGGTGGTTCAAACCCACCAGGTACTCCTCACAAAGAGGAATGGGCAATCTACTTCCATAGACATAGTGCTTCAGAATCCCAAGGAGGGCTCACTATGAGTTGAATCAATGGCAGTGAGTTTGGTTTTTTTGGTTTATTGAACAACCTTATTAATTTCTTGTAAGAGTAAAAAATTGTATGGTGGTTTTGGGGATCTAGTCTATTAGTTAGACATTGGCTCATAATCTTCCAGCCAATAAATAAGACAACTCATTTTTCTATATTTCTTTCTTTTACTTGTGCCTTAGGCACTACACTACCAGAGCTCCCGTCTACCGGAGCGGCTGGTGGGTATGAACCTCCAGCCTTGGGTGTGGCGGGTGACTGCCTTACACCTGAGGCCATCCTATACATACATATGCACGTGTATATATGCACACTGTATAAATGATAATTATTATTTTACAATCAGAAAACAGTAAATGCATATAGTAGATAATTTGGAAAATGCAGAAATAAGAGGAAAATGAACAATTCTATCATCCAGCAATAAGAACTGTATTACTAAAATAATTCTTTGGTAAATTTATTTTCACTTAGGCATGTATATATCAATGGGAGCTCTGGTGGCATAGTGCCTAAGGCATTTGACTGCTAACCAGAAGACTGGCGGTTCAAACCCACCAGCCACTTCTCAGAAGGAAGGTTGAGCAATCTACTTCCACAGTGATACTGCTTCAGAAACCCAAGTAGGGGTCACTATGAGTCAGATCCGACTCAATGGCAGTGAATTTTAAGAGTTTTTTTGGTATATATCAATGCCAAAAAAAACAAAAGCAGTGCCATCGAATTGATTCCAGCTCATAGCAACCCTATAGGACAGAGTCCCCCACAAGGTTTCCAAGGCTGTAAATCTTTACAGAAGCATACTGCCAAATATTTTTCCTATGGAGCGATTGATGTGTTTGAATCACTGACTTTTTAGTTAGCAGCCAAGTTCTTTAACCACTGCACCACCAGGGCTTCTTTTGTATAGATACAAATATTGGGGGGAAAAAAAATTCACTGCAATTGAGTTGATTCCCATTGGGTGTCCAAGACTATAAATCTTTTCAAAGTAGATTGCCTCATCTTCCTCCCACAGAGCAGCTGATGGGTTTGAACTATTGACCTTCTGGTTAGCAACCAAATGCCTTACCCACTATACCACCATCAGCTCATTTGGGATAGGTATACCAAAGTCATACTATATATGGAAGCCTGTTTAGTTCGTATGATTTTTTAAAAAGTCAAAAGTACAGAGACATTGCGGTTGACTCTCTATCACATTTTATCCCCATTCCCACACTCTGGTGCTGATTACCCCCAATTGTTTGAGGAGCTTTCTGGTGGTTGCATGGATAACTTATGTGGCTTTTAAGTCCAGCTTCCCCCTCCCACCACACACAGACTCTTCACATGGGTCTTAATTATCTAGTGCTGCTATAACAGAAATTCCACAAGTGGGTGGCTTTTGTGACAAATTCCTATTTTTTCACAGCTTAATGCACTGCCGTGGAATCAGATCTGACTCATAGCAACCACTTGTTGGGTTTACAAGGTTGTATCACTATGGAAGTAGATTGGTGTATTGATGCAGATAAGGTGTGTAAAACTTTTGTAGGGCTTAGACAACAGCTATGCAAATGAGGTGCCTATTGCCTACCAAGGACATTGCTCGGTTTTGCCATCTTGCGGGGGGTTATATGAGCCAATCCCACAGAGGCTGAGGGAGAACCTTACCATCATCAGGAAGAGTCTGGAACGGAGCATATCCTTTGGACAAGAGACCCAGAGGCCTGGCACTGAGAACCTTCTAGACCCAGAAGAAAGAGTGAACACCAAAGACAATGAGAGACATCAGCAGTAGGTATGCCTGGCCCATGAAATAAGAGATGAGTAGCTTTTGGCAGGAAGCCTCCTAGTGGAGCCTACAAGACTTGAAACACATGCATGTGTAAGGCAGAGACCTGAGTATACCCTGTATAGATGTTATCTTGGAGGAGCCTGTGTAGCAGTCTTCCTACAGCCGGGGAGAGCTGATTTTCTCTGGGCAGGAGTCTTGCCAGTGGAGCTAAAAGAGCTGTAATACTTATTTGTGCAGAGCAAGAGAAGCCTGAGTGTGCTCCATACAGGGGTTGCATGCTGTACTCCCTGGGTAGTGGGGGCCTAAGTAGCATGCCAATGAGAACCCCACAAGTCAGGGTAGCACGGCAGGCAGCCAGTGGAAGAGTCTTAGAGGGGCTCAGTAGCAGAGGCTCAGGAGCTCCTGTTCAGGCACCTGGCAGGCAACAGGGTTCACTGAGGTCCAGTGGCTGAGTAGAAGCGTAGCCCTTCCTTTCCCAGCAGCGTGGTGGTGGTCTGAGACAGAGATACACAAACACAGCATCTAACCTGGACCACAGCACACCTGCCCAGCAACATAAGAGTGGACATTGGTGATTTGGGGAAAGGTAAGCATTTCCCTTTTGGGAGTCTGTTATTGTTTACCATTTGCTTTCTATAAATGATGCTAATGGCTTTTACTTTGCCAACACTATATGTTTGTTGTGTCTGGCTTGATCACAAAGGAATGTAGATGAGCTCCTATTCTATGGGTACTACAAATGAATGTACAAATGAACATTCATTTGTAGTACCCATAGAATAGGAGCTCTGGTGGCGTAGTGCCTAAGGCACTTGAATGCTAACCAGAAGTCTGGCGGTTCAAACCCACCAGCCATTCCTCAGAAGGAAGGTTGGGCAATCTACTTCCGTAGTGATACTGCTTCGGGAGACCCAAGGAGGGGTCACTATGAGTTGGGTCCGAGTGGACAGCAAATAACAACAACAAGCCATAGAATTGCTGGTGCTTGAGGGTGTATATGTCTCAGTCCTAGCAGTCTAATGGCTGCCTGGAAGTTTGAGGCACAGCCTGTTTAAATGTGCAGTGTTGATGGACATGTACATATAGGAAGATTTGTCCAAGAGTTTCAATCTTGGACTATTTGTTTAATTTGTGTGGATACTCTTTAGACTTGGCTATCTGTGTTTCTTTTCATTATTATTATTTTTTATTGTGATATGGGTGAAAGTTTACAAAGCAAATTCATTATCCATTCCATTGTTGTTGTTGTTAGGTACCATTGAGTTGGCGCCGAGTCGTAGCAACCTTATGAACAACAGAATGAAACACTGTCTGGTCCTGTGCCAGCCTCACAATCCTTGCTATACCTGAGCCCATCCTTGCACCCACTGTGTCAATCCATCCTGTTGAGGGCTATCCCCTTTTTCATTGACCCTTCACT